CCAGCTAGGACGGGCGCAGGGCCAGCTAGGACGGGCGCAGGGCCGGCTAGGACGGGCGCGGGGCCGGCTAGGACGGGCGCGGGGCCGGCTAGGACGGGCGCGGGGGCCGTTAGGATGGGCGCGGGGGCTGGGAAGACGGGCGCGGGGGCCAGCTAGGACGGGCGCAGGGCCGATAGGACGGGCACGGGGGCCAGTAGGACGGGCGCAGGGGCCAGCTAGGACGGGCGCGGGGCTGGCTAGGACGGGCGCGGAGTCCGTTAGGACGGGCGCGGGGGCCGGTAGGACGGGCGCGGGGGCCAGCTAGGACGGGCAACTAGGGCGCGGGGGCGGCTAGGTCCTAGAGCGGAAGCGTGGGCGGGCGGCGGGACCTACCTACTGCTGATACCATCTTAGAAACTAATGACTAGAGAACCTAGGTACAAGGATATATGTCTAAGGGTTATACTCGCTAAGAAGTGACCCTATACAGTCTATACAAACATTAGAGATACAAATGTTTGACAAGGACATCGAGGAGACTCGTGGCGGTCGCGGACAGGGTGACATGTCCTCATTTCATTTCAAAATGTATGGATTGCATGCAAGGGGGTGTTGGAGGAATATCTGTGGTGTGGGTTGCGAGAAGTTTTGGAGGGTTGTATGTGGCTGTGGGAACTTGGCCGAAATTTTTGCAGGGTGCTCGGGAGGAATGTCTCGAGCGAAGGGGGACTTCGCCAAAATGTTTGGGTTGCTAGAGGTGTGGAGAGAAATGTCTCTGGTGTGGGGGACTTAGCCGAAATGTTTGGGTTGCTAGAGGTGTGAGGAGAAATGTCTCTGGTGTGGGGGACTTAGCCGGAAAAACCAGGTTGCTTGCGAGGGGTGTAGGAGGAATGTATCTGGCAATCGGGGACTTCGCCGGAAATTCGTGTAAGGGTCGACCTCGGGGGCACTTTTCCTCATCAGCTTGCCTACACCCAAGCACTCTTATAAATAAGGGCCCTAAACATATGTACTTTTTCTCATAAGGGTCTGTAAAAATACCACTCAAAAAAAAAAGGGTCCCATGTATACCCCACCCTTATAGTAAGAGTCATCAGCTTATTTCACCCTGATATCCAGAGGCTTGTGTCAAACATTTGTATCTCTAATGTTTGTATAGACTGTATAGGGTCACCTCTTAGAGAGTACAACCCTAAGACATATATCCTTGTACCCATGTTCTCAAAATATTTGATTGTTTAGTTCTAAGATGGTATCAGCAGTATGTAGGTCCCGCCGCCCGCCCACGCTTCCGCTCTAGGACCTAGCCGCCCCCGTGCCCGTCCTAGTTGACCCCGTGACTGCCCTAGCCGCGCCCTAGCCGCCCGTCCTAGCCGCGCCCGCGCGCCCGTCCTAGCTGCGCCCGCCGCGCCCGTCCTAGCTGGGCCCCGTGCCCGTCCTACCTGGCCCTTGCGCCCATCCTAGCCGGCCCCCGCGCCCGTCCTACCGGCCCCCGCGCCCGTCCTAACGGCCCCCGCTCCCGTCCTAGCCGGCCCTGCGCCCGTCCTACGGCCCCTGCGCCCGTCCTAGCCAGCCCCACGCCCGTCCTAGCTGGCCCCCGAGCCCGCCCTACTGGCCCCCGCGCCCGTCCTAGCCGGCCCCGCGCCCTTCCTAGCTCGCCCCCGCGCCCGTCCTACCGGCCCCCGCGCCCGTCCTAACGGTCCCCGCGCCCGTCCTAGCCGGCCCTGCGCCCGTCCTAGCTGGCCCCGCGCCCGTCCTAGCTGGCCTCGCGCCCGTCCTAGCTGGCCCCTGCGCCCGTCCTACCGGCCCCTGCGCCCGTCCTAGTCGGCCCCGCGCCCTTACTACCGGCCCCAGCGCTCGCCCTAGGCCCGTCCTAGCCGACCCCGCGCCCGTCCTTCCTGGCCTCCGCGCCCGTCCTAGCCGGCCCCGCACCCGCCCTACTGGCCCCTGCGCTCGTCTTGCCAACCCCGGCGCGAGCCCTGCCCGTCGACTTCCGGCAACGTGCTCACCTTCCCGCCGGCCTGCCACCGATCTATGTGCAGCCCGCTCTTCGGGTACTGCCCTGCACCCTCCCTGGTGGTCCTGCTGCGCATTCCTCACCGTCTGCCCCTCCCCAGGTGTCTCCTCCACCACCGCCTCTGCAGCCGCCGTCACCTCTGCTGTCGCAGCCGTCGTCTCCGCCGCCGAAGTCGCAGCAGCAGTTCGTTGACTCTGGGGGTGCTCGCGTTGGGGTGGGTGCTAGTCCTGGGGTTCCTGTCATGGCCTATCCCGGTGGCCCTGGGGGTGATACCGGTGCTCGAGGGGTTTCGGGCTCTGGGGTGTTCCTTCTGGGGGTGCAGGAGTGGAGTGTCTCGGAGGTAGCCGAGGAGCAGCTTGCGGTCCCGGTGTCGCTGGTGTGCCGCCGCAGCAGCATTCCCCACCGGTGTCCGCCCTTCGGCCTTCCGTCCCCTGACCCTGCGGCTGCTCCTCTCCTGCCGTCTCCTCCTCTTCCTGTCTACGGCCCTGTGTTCCCTCCGCCAGACTCGTCCCCGGCTCGTCTTCCCCCTCGCTCCCCCCTTGTATCCCCTCCTTTGTCTCCTAACCCGACGCCTCCGTCTCATGTCTGGTCCCGCCGTCCCTCCCGCGCTCGTCCTATCTCCCCTGTCCCGCTCTCTCACCCTATGTTGCTCCGTTCCCACGCGTCTCGTCCTCCCCTTCTACCGTCGCCTCCTCCGTCCTCTCTTACCGTTGCGCCTCCTCCTTTGTCTGACTACCTTCGTGCCACTCGTCCTCTTGTTCCTCGGGTCCTCCCCTCTCTCGTTACCAACCCGTCCGTTCCAGTCTCGTGTCTTGACGCTCTTGTCGCTGCGGTCACTGACTTTGCCTCTACTCGCCACCTTGACTACGCCACCGCTCTGGTCTCTGACCCTGCCTGTCCTCCGTCTATCGAGGGTGCTCCTGCCCTCGGCAGTGACGTCCTGGAGGACCGCCAGTTCGAGCTTGCTTTCTTGTCTGAGGCTGCTCCCCATCTCTGTTCCATGCTGCTAGTCCCTGAGGGTGATCCAGACGCCTTCGACATCCCGACCCCTCGCACTTACGCTGAGGCGACCTCGGGACCTTGGGCCTCTCAGTGGATAGCTGCCATAGAGCAGGAGATGGCATCTTGGAGATCCACCGGCACCTACGTCGACGCAGTTCCCCCACCTGGGGTGAACGTAGTTGATGGCCGCTGGCTCTTCAAGGTGAAGCGCCCTCCTAGAGAGCTGCCTGTGTTCAAGGCGCGCTACGTGGCTAGAGGTTTCAGTCAGTGTGAGGGGGTGGACTTCTTCCAGACCTTCGTTCCGACCCCGAAGATGACTACTCTTCGGGTGCTGCTACACGTAGCTGCCCAGCGTGACTACGAGCTTCACTCCCTCGACTTCTCCACTGCGTTTCTTCAGGGCAGCCTACACGAGCAGGTCTACTTGCGTCGCCCTCAGGGTTTCACTGGCACCTTCCCTCCTGGGACCCAGTGGCTCCTGCGGCATCTCGTCTACAGCCTGCGGCAGGCTCCCCGTGAGTGGCACGACACGCTGCGTGCTACCCTTGCTGACCTGCAGTTTTTTCCGTCCTCCGCAGACCCCCCACTCTTAGTTAGTACTGGCCAGACTCCGTTCTACATCCTCGTTTACGTGGATGATCTGGTCTTTGCCACAGCAGACAGGGACGCACTGGCCTCAGTGAGGACAGAGTTGCTGAAGAGACACACTTGCACTGACCTTGGAGAACTGCGCCGTTACCTTGGTTTGCAGATCTCCAGGGATAGAGCAGCACGCACCATCACTTTGACTCAGTCACACTTGGTGCGCCAGGTCCTTCAGAGGTTCGACCTTCAGTTCTCCTCTGCACAGCCCACCCTTCTGCCTGTAGACCACAGACTCTCCGCTCCAGTTCCTGAGGAGTCAGTAGAGCCCAGTGGTCCTTACGCAGAGCTGGTGGGTTGCCTCATGTACCTGATGACTTCCACTCGCCCAGATCTCGCATACCCTCTCAGCATCCTGGCTCGCTTTGTGGCCACAGGTAGACACCGACCGCAGCACTGATATGTAGCTAAGAGGGTTTTGTGTTATCTCGCAAGTACATCGGGCATGGGGTTAGTGCTAGGAGGACGCAGGCTAGTGGTCCTTACCGGACACACAGACGCTTCTTGGGCAGACGACGCCGAGACCCTCAGGTCCTCCCAGGGCTACTGCTTCAGCCTTGGTTCAGGTGCCGTCTCGTGGGGAGCTACCGCTCCTCGTTTGTTGCCCAGTCCAGCTGTGAGGTCGAGATCTACGCTGGTGCCATGGCGGCACAGGAGCTCCGCTGGCTGACCTTCTTGCTCACTGACTTAGGGGAGCGGCCTAGCTCTGCCCCGGTCCTGTACGCTGACAACAGGGCCATGATCCTCCTGTGTCAGGAGCCTTGACTCGAGGACAGAGCGAAGCATATCCAGCTGCGGTACTTCCACCTGCGCGAGCTACAGCAGCGTTGCCAGGCTCACGTAGTACACTTGGCCTCAGGTGCCAACACAGCTGATATCTTTACAAAGGCGCTTTCGCCTAAAGATCATCAGCGGCACTGTGTACAGCTCGGTCTAGTTCCCGTAGCCTCTCACTTGCTAGGGCCTTGACTTTGTACTATCCTTTATATATATTTTCTCAGACTGGACTTGTGTCCTCTCCCAGTGGCTGGACTAGTAGTGCTGCCCTGTTCTTGTTCTTGCCTTGCCTGTACTCCTTTTTGATTGGTCTTTAGACCCCTATCTTAGTGGCTGGACTAGTAGTGCCGCCCCGAGCTGCTTGTTCAGGAACTGCCCCTATGCAGTCTAGGGGGTGTGTCAAACATTTGTATCTCTAATGTTTGTATAGACTGTATAGGGTCACCTCTTAGAGAGTACAACCCTTAGACATATATCCTTGTACCCATGTTCTCAAATTATTCGATTGTTCAGTTCTTAGAGCCTGCTCATCAGTATAACATAACTTGTAACAAATGTGCAAATAGTTTGCATAATAAATTACATGGTCCATACACTATGACAAGGCCCAGTATTCACTCTAAGACCTGGGGCCTCCGTCTCCTACTCCTGTGGAAAGGAATAGTGGAAGCACAAAGCGCCAAATAAGGGAGATGGGACAAGGTGATGTGGAGAGGAGAGAGGCGACCATTGAGAGGGGGGTGGGACAGGGAGAGGTGGTGGTTTGAGAGAGATAGACACGTGCGAGCGACGTTGGAAGGGGGTGAGCGAGTGATGGAGAGCGAACAAGAGAGGGCTGGACGGAGCGAGGGAGGAAGGGATAGGAGAGGTTGGGGCGATAGGGGGGATAGCAGCATATATAGCAGGGCTAGCAGGGATAGGAGGGTCAAGGGGGATAGGGGGATAGGGGGATAGGAGGGATAGCAGGGGTAAGAGGGATCGCAGGGATAGAAGGGATGGCAGGGAAAGCAGGGGGAAGCGGGAAGCAGGGGGAAGCGGGAAGCAGGGGGAAGCGGGAAGCAAGGGGATGTGGGAAGCAGGGGGAAGCAGGAAGCAGGGGAAAGCGGGAAGCAGGGCGAAGCGGGAAGCGGGGGGAGGGGGGAGCAGGGGGATGCGGGGAGCAGGGGGAAACGGGAAGCAAGGGGATGCGGGAAGCAGGCCGAAGCGGGAAGCAGGGTGAAGCGGGAAGCAGGGCGACGCGGGAAGCAGTGCGAAGCGGGAAGCAGGGGGGAAGCAGCAGGAAGCGGGAAGCAGGAAGTTGGATGAGAGCGGAAGGGCGGGAAGCAGGAAGCAGGACGCGGGTAGCGGGAAGCAGAAGGGAGGGCGATAAGCGTCAAGTTGGTAGCGGGTCGCGAGTCTCTCGAGGTGGCGAAATCCGTCGGATAACGGGACGCGACTCGTCGAAGCGCGTAACGGTCGACACGATTAACGGTCGAAGCGGTTGCTGATAAATAGCATGGACGAAGTATCGGGTATGGGGAAGAGGGAAGCTGAGAGAAACCCTGTCACACGAGATGCGGGACGGGGAAAGCGGAGGTACGGGGGCCCCGTTTTGAGGGGATAGCGGAAAGGTTTAGCTCATCGGGATGCGGAGGTATGGCGGGCTTCTCAGTTCCCTCTCTTTCATTTTCGTCACCAGAGACTGACACTGTCGCCTGATTGGTGTAATATCTCGGGAGGGTGCGTGTGGCACGGGCCAACTTCGATTTCACTCACAACGTACACCTGGAGCACACCGGACGCCCAGCGCAATACGTGGCCCAATCAGAGACCACCGCCCATTAGCATCGTATCACGGGCAACGGCCCACTCATTTTGGGCCGTGAACAGAGCCAACAGTGCAGCGTTATTATGACAGCAGTGACAGACATGTGGCACAAGACGAAGGATGTCTGCCGCAACTGTTATCGCCACAAACTCGCATCTGCACACAAAATAGCGGTCCGGCGAAACTCAGCGAGCCTTTGGTTGAGCTCGCAAAGGTGCGTACGCCACGCTGGGCTTGTTTGTGGTTTGAGCATCGCCGCATGCAACCGAACGCGCTGACTTGGCAACGAGAAGGAATCGCGATTGCCCCGATGCCAGGGCCCGTTTTGAATTTCCGAAATACAGCCTTGTAACAGATTCGCACAACAGTATCCTCCACTCTTCGCAGCGGTGACGGTTGCGACACGACCCTTCAACACATAATGTACGACGTCTTCAATACACGCCCCAAACATTTGGAAATAGAACGCCACTCCAACCCTCTCGCCACAATTCACTGAGTATGAAAGGGAGCAAACACAACCAGAGAAACTCACCCGCCAACCAGCAGTCTTCTAGTGCCACCAGAGAAAGTCAGTCGACTTTCCACGCGCCATCCCACCCCTTTCCACCATGCCTCGCACACACCGTCGAGCCCAGCTGCCGCTGGAGGTCAAACGCGCCATCTGCAAGCACCGTGCCTTGAACGTCCATTTGCGCCAGGAGGATATGGCGAGATGGTGCTTCACACGGTTTGGCCTTTGCCCTGACCGCTCAACCATCGGCAAGGTGCTGCGAAGCGAGGCAAGGTGGACCTCTGAGGACGCCGTCGTTAGCGCCAAACGTATAAGAGGTGGGAGGCACCCTGATCTTGAAGCCCTGCTGCTGCGGTGGATCGACAGCGCTGGCCCTGCCGGCGTTCCTCTGACGCTAAAAACCATCCAAGCCCAAGCAATGATGTTTGCTCGGGCACTCAACAAACCTGACAACTTTCTCTGCTCGATCGGCTGGGTGCGGCGCGCTCTAAGGCGCCTCAACATCCGCTGCCTCACCCAGAAGGGCGAGGCTGCAGATCAAGATCTGGGTGCCGTCATGACGAGTAAGGTACAGTTGCCCGCGCTGTTCCGTCATTGCGGCATCCTGCCTCGCGACGCCCTAAACTTCGATGAGACCTGCTTCTTCATCTCCGTGCTCCCGAGGAAGTCGTGGGGTCGTCGCAGCTGGGGAGGGCGCAAACAACCGAAGGAGCGCCTTACAGTGGCGTTTCTCTGCAATGCGGATGGGAGCACAGTGTGGCGCCCTCTGATTATCTCGAAGACCCGCCGCCCTGCAGACTTCAGGCCCGACTACGACACCACCCCGTACTGCTACTGGCGTAGCAACGAAAAGGGGTGGATGACGAGCTCGGTAAGTCGCTTTCCCCTCCCTTGGCATCCCGCGTACTTTGTTTCCCAGGCTTACCATGTTTTCCAGCAATGCACGAACGAAGCATAGTGAAAACGTGTCGTCTTACGCATGCCCTTATCCCCCCCTACTGCCCTCCTATGGCCCTTCCCCCCCCCCCCTTCCTGGTCCCACGCAGCTTTTTACGCACTTCATGGAGCAGCTCAACGCTGCCATGTATGCTGAAGGCAGGAAAGTCTTCGTCCTCGTTGACAACGCCAGCAGCCACGCCCTTCTCTCCCCAGAAGCAACGACGGAGGACCTTTTCGGCTTCAGAACGCGCTGCCTCAGCCACCTCCGCCTGGTATACCTTCCACCGAACACAACCTGTTTCAGGCAGCCTCTTGACCAAGGCATGATTGCCACGGTCAAGGCGCGTTATAGGTCGACTTGGCTGGCCGCGCTCGTACGCGACTGGGGTACTACGGATGGGGCCCGCCGCAACATGTCCCGCTTCCGTCCGACCATGCGGCAGGTGGTCGAATGGCTGTGGGCTGCGTGGATGTCGGTGGGGGCGCGCACAGTGCAGCGGTGCTGGTGGCGCACCGGCTGCGTCCCTGAAGAGTGGGCTGCATACCTAGAGCACGTGCCGCAGCCGCCGCCCCCCTGCGACGTCCTCCCCATCGACGAGGCTGACCAACCTGAAGATGAGGACGAGGGGGAGGAGTCGCTGGAGGCGGAGATCAACGGGGTGGGCGAGCAGATCGCCGCACTAGGCCTTGGCCCAAGCGCCATGCGGGCGGCGGACTATGTCGCCATCGATGACGCGCAGCCGACGTGCGAGCAGGCCGGCGAGGATCCCTTGGCAGAGGAGCCCCGCGTACCATCCCCACCTTCCAACTGGCACTCTCCTACCCGCGGTGGTCTGTATACATTCAGAGATGTGGGAGATCGCGAGGAGCGTCGCATGGCCATCTAAAAAAACCGGGCTGGGAAAACATACCCACGCGACACTTTAGAGTGGCGCTGGGGTATGTTCAAGGATTCATACGCCAAACATTATGGGAAACATACCCCTTCGTATGTTTCCCACGATCTGATTGGCGAGGGTGGTTCGGCACAAACTAACATCAGCGTATGTTTCGGACTAACCTGGGCGTCACATCGAATCGAACGCAGCCTTTTCGCAAGGCAGATCCAACAATCGTGGTGCGTTCAGGATTGAATGGCGAGATCGCAGCGGCAGCAGTTACTCTACCAGTGGTTGGTGGCGAACGGCATTACGTCTACAATCGGGAGGTTGGAAACATTGCATCTTCTACCCGTTTACAACTTCCTCGTTTCTGTCATGGCTACGTTTGTAATGTGCGGTGTTACCTTTTGCGTGGAAGGTGTTCGCATTAGTCACAAACGTTTTCTCTATGGTCAGCCGCTACGATCGCGCCACTTGTCGTTTAATAGTGCATTCTTGTGTACGCGTTGAAAGTAGTCTCGGTACATTTTTACGCACTGTTGCGTGGTAGCGTAGTATGTTATGTTTATTGGAAATTTTCTTATTACATGTAATTGTTTTTACCCTATTTTAATGTATATTACCATTACAAATCAGCTTGTTAGACGTATTAAAAATGCATGCAGAAACTCTTGAAACGTATCACAGACCATCCAACGACACATGCACTGGTAACATGTTATCAATCAATTACTACATAGAAATGCTAAACAGATGCATCACCCAGCCCAATGCCGTCGTCACTAATCATAACAGTGCGGCTACTCCGGCTGAACGACCAGGCACTGTACTCTGCCCGCCAGACCGGTGCCCCAGTGACTCTTCGAGCCCGAATTGCAGCGCAGGCCCAGTTCTTCACATCAGAATGGTAGACTGTCTGCAGGGCGCTGTTGTCGACATGACTCTTGGTCATGTCGGCATCAAAGCGCAACCTGTGCTCCACCTGCAAGATCAGAACCACACGGAATCAGAATTGACGCCTTCTCGATATGACTTCATGACAGATTAAAGCTAGTGTACTCGCACTTACCCCCATGAGCCAGAATGAGAGCATGTTGAGTGTAAGAATGATGACGGCGTGGCCAGGACGGGAGAAGGAGGCTATGATGGCCCGAATGAAGCACTCCGTGGCAAAGGGGACACCGAGGTCGTCCCTGTGCCACGTCAACAAACCGTGCGACTTGGCGTCTGCATGACACGTGGGTACAGAAAGCAGCAGGAGAAATGGACTCTTGGGGGAATATTGAACCTGTAACGATAGAGTTGTAGAGTGGGTTTGGAAAAACAGGGTGGGAAGGTAGTCCAAAACGGTAGTGGGATGTGTTAGTAAGTGTGGAGAGCTAGGCTAAAACAATGAAGGGATGGGAAGAACAGGGCAAAGATGTATGATAAAACAGACGTGGAACTGGAAAAACGGGGTGTGAAGGTAGACCAAGTCACAAGTGGGATGGGAATAAAACGGTGGGGATGTAGGCTAAAACAATGATGGGATGGGAGAAGCAGGGCGGGGAGGTATGCTAAAACTTTAGTGTGAAGGGGAAAACAAGGTTAGGAGGTAGACCAAAACATTAATGGGATGGGAGAGAAAGGGTGGGGAGATAGGCTAAAGCAACGATGGGATGGGAAAAACAGAGCGGGGAGGTATGCTAAAAAAGAAGTGGGAATGGGGCAAAAATGGTGGCGAGGTGGGCCGGAAAATTAAAGGGAAAGGAAAAACAGGGTTTAAGGGGGTATGCCACAACAATAGTGGTATGGAAAAAAGAGGGCAACGATGTAGGCTCCACTAGAAGTGAGATTCGAAAAACACGGTTGGGAGGTAGATCAAAAGAATAGTGTGATGGGAGAGACAGGGTGGGGAGGAAGGCTAGAACGGTAGAGGGATAAAAGAAAACAGTAATGGGATGGGAGAAGCAGGGCAGGAAGGTTTGCTAATACAGTAGAGCGTTGGAAAAACAGGGCAGGAAGGAAGCATAAAACAGTAGAGGGATGGGATAAAAGGTCCATGGAGGTAGGCTAAAACAAATGCGGAATGGGAAACAGATTGTGGAAAGGTGGAACAAAACAGTAGTGGGTTGGGAACAAAAGGGTGGAGAAGTAGGCTCAAACAAAGACGGGATGGTAGAAACAGGGCGGGGAGGTAGACCAAAAGAGTAGTGTGATGAGAGAGACAGGGTGGGGAGGAAGGCTAAATCAGTAAAGGGATGAGATAAACTGTGCAAGGAGGACGGCTAAACAATAGAGGTATGGAAAAAGCAAGGTAAGAAGGTTGGCTACAACAGAGGTGGCATGGGAAAAACAAGGTGGAAAAGTAGAAGAAAAGAGTAGTGGGATGGGTGAAGCAGGACAAGAATGTATGCTAATACAGTAGAGGTTTGGAAAAAAACAGGGCAGGAAGGAAGCATAAAAAAGTAGAGGGATGGGATAAAAGGTGCACGCTGGTAGGCTA